TACTTTTTTTGATGCCAATAAATGCAGTTGGAGGGCCCACTAAGTTATTTGCCCTATCACCGCACTGCTGGGGTGAAAAAACACTGAGCATTAAATGTAAAGAACTCATCCACATACACCCACCAAACAGCACATAACTGTCCATGAATACACACTTATTGGTTTAAAAAAAAAAAAAAAAGGACCGAGAACTGTTGCTGGGAGAGTGGGCTGAGTGAAAAAAATAGACTTATGAGTCACTGCTTAAATGTCTCTAATGAAACATTACAGAGCAAAGTTGAGTTCTGGCAATATTTGAGGCTGTAAAACGAACACAAGCAAACTCTGGCAAGAGCCAGCGTGTACTAAACAGGGTTGTGCGCTATTCAGGATTGAAGTGAGAATGCCTTTTAGGGCATGTTTACACAAGGTTTGGTTCGATTAAAATAAACGGTGCAATTGCCCTGTTAGTGCAGTTCATTTGAATAAGTTTGAATGATGCCATCCAAGCCTTATTGTGCACCAAACAAGCAGACCAAGATCCACCTTTTTAACTCTGGTGTGGTTCGACTGATATATAAATGCAACACGTCTCAAAGACATCTAAACAAACCAAAAACAGGATGTGATGTCACAAGATGCAAACTTAAAAAGGCCAGAATGCTCAAGCATACCTGGCTCTTGTTGCCCTTTACAGTTCGGTACAGGCATCAGAACCGCTGTCTCATTGCAGCAGATCTTTGTGTGGTACAGAGAAATTCCTGACACTGTTTTGACTCCTTTACACATATTATAAACTCTATGCGAGTTAACAGCTGGTCAAAATGCCACCATATGTACACACATACAACAAGTACATTTAGCCCAGCACACAGCATTGTTTGGGATGCTCTGTAACTTTGCTAAATATACTTCATAAAAGTATATTTTATGTTACCATATCCTTATCCTTATGAACCAGCAAACAAGAACTAAATATATCATTTTCATTTTTGGTCCAGACCAAAAGAGCCAAGAGAACCGAACTACAAGTGTAAACACAGCCTTAAAGGGTTAGTTAACATATTTTTGTTTTCTTTGCACAAAAAAGTATTCTCGTAGCTTCATAACTTTACAGTTGAACCACTGATGTCACACGGACTACTTTGTCGATCATCTTGGTACTTTTCTGGACCTTGAACGTGGTAGTTACCTTGCTGTCTATGGGAGGGTCAGAGAGCCCTCAGATTTCATCAAAAATATCTTAAATTGTGTTCCAAAGATGAACGAAGGTCTTACAGGTTTGGAACAACACGAGGGTGAGTAATTAATGACAGAATTTTCATTTTTGGGTGAACTAACCCTTTAAAGTCCAATTCAATTCCAGAACTCTTATTTTATAATGTGATTATTTATTGCTTGTTTGATTGTTATCTGAAAATAATGTGGTTGACACTATATGGTGCTGTAAAATTATTTGAATAAAAGTTCATCAATATAAAATAAAAGTTTTGACAGTATTGGTCTTTGTTTAGAGAATTCCGTCTAATTATTTGGAAAAAATTATGTTATAATTATTCATGTTTTATCACAAAACTGTTGGACTAATGAAATACATATTACTTTATTTGTCCCGCTGAGGGAAATTTATTTTGGGCATACATATGAAGCTGCCTGAAAAGACAACAATCACGATCATTAATAACAATCACTGTACATTTCTGTTCCTGCCATTCCAATTACATTTCCTGTGGGACGTGGCTTATTCAGATTCTCAATCATCATTTGAAAGCAAAACATGTTTAAATACAAAAATAGTTATTAAATGGTAAGTGATGGGAGCTGTACACCCTGCTTTCTCACTGGCCTCTTTTTTTCTTTCTTCAATTTAACGTTTAGTGCCCTGTGAAAGCGAGAATCATTTCTGATTAAGAAGATAAGATAGGAAGTGGACAGGACAAGAGAGACAGAGTGAAAGTGAGCAAGACAGATAAGCTGAAATGTCGACAGAGACACACGGCGATGGAGAGAGATGGAGCTGAAATCATCTCTCAGGGGACAGGAGGACTCACTGAAGGACAAGTCCAACAGTTATTTCATGTTCTGGGCCACAAAAGACCTGATGCATTTCTCCACCCACAGCACCACTGGCTCTCAATAACCTCTCCAAACTAATGCAACCGTGACTCTGTACAGCCCAAACTCTTCAGTGCATTATGCAAAGCATCGGCAGCAACCCTTTCACTCAGGCTGGAGAGACGCATCCACATCCAGCATGGTCCAGAGGTGAGCAGCTTGAGTGAGCGGCCGACGAAGGAGCGTCTGGAAGGACATGTGACGACTCCGGGCTGGACTCCGCTTCGTCCACGGTGAAAGCCTGTCCGGCGATCCACAGCGTGAAGTTGTAGTATTTCCTCATCGACCAGCACGGATCAGCTCTAGGCATGACGAAGCGGATATCGTCCTCTTTTGGAAGACCAAACAAAGTAGTTTCGCTTTCACAACGAAGCACACAGCGTCTTTACGACATGGCGGCGGCAACAACAATACTACAGCGAGAATAAAAGTTACGCCTTCTTTCTTTGCGTGAACATTTGGGTGGCGTTATGCAAATCTTCCCACATAGTGACGTAGACATGTGGGGGCATGTTAGAACGAGCCGTTTTAGGTAGGCGTGACTGACTCTTAACTTTTATAAAGAATATCTCTTTGGATTTGAGACTTTAGTCTTTGCAACTTTACAGATCTTCTTTATGCACCAAGAGCTTGTAACACTCCAAAGAGAAAGGAAAAATTGAAAACGCATCATATGACCCCTTTAAATCCACCATTGTTATTTACAGAATAGTTCTATAGTCAATTCAGTATTTAATGCAATTAATTAAATGGTAATTACATTTGATGGTAATTAATTTAATGATAATTAAATTACAGAAAAATTAAGTGTAATCCCTTACTTTTGCAAGGGAAAAGTAATTAAATTACAGCAATTAGTTACTTAGTAATGCATTACACCAACACTGTATTTTACACATACATTCAATAAAATATATTAATGTTAATCATTTTACATAAAGAATATGTATATACATTATTTTTTATTTAAAGAATATACATATATGTATATAAAAAAATTATATACATATAGATTTTTTTTTAAATGTATATAAATATTGGCAATAGTAGAGAATAACACTAATGCTAAAGACATGGGTTCAATTTTCAGGAATACATAAACTATTGAAAAAAAATATGCATACTTTGAAGTTGCTTTGGAGAAGTGTCTTCAACATGCATAAATGTAAAAACAAAAATGAGGTGCATGCACAATGAAATATAACTAATTGTCCACTACTGTAGACCAAAACAGATGTCAATTTACTGAACAAAGATCTGGCAATAAAATCTCACTCTGGGATGCTATCATTAAGCTATATGAAACAGGGAAAGCAGCCCAAGGAAATAAATCCGTACTTAGTAATCAAATGGCGTGTGAGATCACATGAACTGAGGATGTAAGCATCCATTATGAATGTTAAGGGTTCCTGTGCTGTCTCTGCTACGTTCACTCATATTCCCATGGGCTATTTTCTCCTGGTTTGCTCCTTCAGAGGTCTTCTGCGCTGTTTTATTTAGAGCAGCTATAATAGATATACAAACAGAACTATCAAAAAGAAAATAAAAAAACATCACTGAGGATACACTGCCAAAACTGGGCCGTCAACTATGATATAGTTTATGATGTATTGTTTCTGCTTCTAAATAATATCTTCCAGATGTGCCTGATATGAAATTCTACTAATACAGCTGCATTTCTGATGTTATTTTACTATATTTTTTTAAACACTCCTTTATACTCTCAGAAAAAAAAGGTACAAAAGCTGTCACTGGGACAGTGGTACCGTTTAAAAAGGTACTAGATATACCATTTAGGCACTTGTATGTACACTTTAGGTTCTATGTACTTTTAAGGTACTAATATGCACCCTCTAGGGGTAAATATGGTACAAACGTGTACCTTTTAAAAAGGCACCAGCCCAGTGACAGCTTTTGTACCTTTTTTTCTGAGAGTTTACCAATAAAAATATGATTTAAATATTATTTTTTTATTGCTATTACTATAAAACGTATTACCATAAAGTACATATGACTGTGAAAATTAAGTAAACAGTTTAAATGGCTCCATCTAGGTCAATTAAAAGTCTAGGTCACAAAGGCTGTCACATGACAGAAAGACCTCTAAACAAACACATACACTTAAAACTTTAAATTACAGTGTTATGATTTGCATTTCTGTAAGAAATACTATAGGAAGACCAATAATAATATGCAAACAGCTCGACAAAATTACACAGTGAGCACATGTAGTTTTCTCAGTAATTTCTGTGTAAGCTGTAACATCAAGTGTGACCCAAATGAAAAATACAGACTAAAAAAAAATATATATATATATATATATATATATATATATATATATA